GCAGTGAGACCCAAATTGCCACTTAAGTTGCATTTAAAAGCAGTGAATGCAGGAACAAAGTCTTGTGGACGTCTCAGGGCCACAGTGTGCAATGACCCAAGGGCTGGACACATTCACACCTCCACACCAGGCAGCATCCCCTCTGCTCCCTCAGAACACCAATGGTGAGGACAGCAGGACCACCAGGCTCCGCCGCCAGGTGCTGGTTAAGACCACTTGCAACCACTTAACCAAGTCTCATCACCAGCCCCATGTTAGAGGTCAGGAATCAGAGACCTCGCCCAAGACCAGTTAGCAGAAATGGGCAGGCCACTGCTGCCGAGCCAGCCTCCCTGTCCCTCCTTCCTGGACCCCTCCCGTACAGCTGCTGTAGAGCTATCTGTTCACATTGTCCTGCAAGGTAAAGGGCTTTCAAAACATGCCAACAACCTGAGAAATGCCCTGTTACAAAAATAAAAGTGGTGATTCCATTTGCCTCTTTTGCATAGGTTGTAAATCAGACCACTTAAGATGATAAACCATGTTCACACTGTATTCACACTAGTACCAGGAAGTCACCCGCCACTTCCATGTCCTGCCCGCTCCACTCGGCCTCTGGAGAGCATCACGCCATGGGAAGCACTCTTTTGCACATGAGCTCTGACCCCACAGACTGTTCCGCTCCAGGGGCCAGGAGAAGATTGGTCACATCCAGTATTTACATTTCTCACAGATAACCAAGAGGTCAGAGAGCATAAGTCACATGAAAACCACTTTGTCTCTGGATGGGAACTTTCACAGAGGGTCACGCCAGACGTGCTCCCATATCTCTGGGGCACTTTGTCCCTAAGGACATTAACCGCGGCCACCTCGGGTCCTCATCCAGAGTTTCTCCAGAGTTCCCTGAAGGGCAAGGCAGCAGTGAGGCCTCCTCATGCAGGACTTGCTCATCTGGTCCTGTCCTAAGCACCCTCTCCCTCCCAGCCCACACTGCCAATGTCCAGCAGCCAGCAGGTCCCAGGGCACACGCATTGCTGCCAACACGTTTCAGACCTTTGTTCTTTCGAAATAATGAGAAGGCACTGAAGATTCCAATGTTAGCAAATGGATGAGAGCCAGCTAAAACTCTGCGTCTGAGGCAGGTTACGGCTCTCTTTGTCCAAGTTTCTATCCAACGCTGGAATCTGGATCACACTGCTTGTCATGGATTGCCTGGAGGGGGTGCATCCTGCCTCAGAGGACACCATCAGATTCTTAGGGAGTCTAACTGACTTAAAATCAGATTGCTTTGCTGACCACTTGGAAGCCAGTGTCCACTGACCACGTGGAAGTTAGGGCATCATCAGAGCTTCTCAAACTGCAGCCAGTGACAGAATCACCCAGAGACTTGTTAGGGCAGATTGTGGGGTACCATGCCTTAAGTAGTGGGATCCAAGCATTTTCTGCTCTATCAAGTTCACAAGAAGCAGGACCACAGAACCACACCTGCCTCATAGATGGCTGTCAGTATTCAAGGGAGCACAGATCAGTGCCTGCTCCCCTTGCCTGTGTGCCCTGAGCTGCCACACTGCCTGCACGCGCCTGCTGCAGCACAGCCAGAACTGAAAATCAACACACCCACCCCAGCGGGAGGGAAGGGTGCTTGCTGGTGGACCTGTCTTGAAGAAACGCTGCTTAACCCTCTGGTCGCGAGCACACCCACAACACAAAGGGACATGGTGAACTGCCCAGCATAGCTTCCCCTCTCACAGGGCAGCTGTGGACCTGAACTTACACCAGGGCTCCCTGGGGGGTGGTCCTCAGGCCTCTCACCCTCCCAGGTCATCTCTGAGGCTCACAGGGGCCTCCAGAAATGAGGCTAGTCAAGGAAACAGATCTGAAGCCAAAAAGAAAAATAAGCTTCCTAAGGCATACATGAGAAATTCACAAATGCCATTGCTTATCTTCCCAAAACGTCCCGTTGGCTCACAGACTTCTTGGTGGCGTGTTTTCTAATGAAAGTTGCGGTGGCGACTGTTCAGCGTGCTAGATCCTCATCTCACCACGCAGCCAGTAACACAGCAGGCGCTGCAGGACCAAAGGGAGCCCACCAGAGCACACACACCTACCTCCCCCAGCTCCACAGCCTCCGTGGAAAACGTCGTTGTCGTTTTTTGTTTTTAGTTTCAACAGTGAGCATGTATTATTTTTATTTTTTTACTCTTTATACTTGTACTTTTTTTTTGCATTACAATTCTTATTACACATATATATTCCACAATTTTTCATGTCTGTTTGTATATAAATCAGGTTGACACCCAATTCATGTCTTCATACATGTACTTTGGATAATGATGCTCATCACATTCCACCATCCTTGCTAATCCCCTGCCTCTTCCTTCCCTCCCTCCCTTCTTACCTACCTAGATTTCATCTATTCGTCCCATGTTCCCCCTCCCTACTCCACTGAGTCAGCCTCCTTATATCAGAGAAAACACTTGGCATTTGTTTTTTGCACTGTCACTTTTTGAATGGTGGTCAAACATAAGCTTCTACTAGATTTCCTTCATCTACAAGTTGTAAAATTTCAAACATTTCCACTGTTTTGTGGTGCTGGGGATTGAATTCAGAGCCTCGCATGCTTACCACTGGGCTACTACCCCAGCTATGAGACCCTGGGATAAAACTGGAAACGGTCCCTAAACCTTTCTGCTCAGCAAAGCACTAATTGTAGCTGAAGCAGTGAGACGACTTCATTTTAAAAAGCTTGCCTCAATACTTTACAGCAAGTGTAAACCCCGCTCTAGGCTGTTTACTTTCTTGATTTTAATAATTATCAAATCTGAGACTTTGAAGAATATGAGTTTAGAATACACTTTAATAAGAGGGCTGTGAGCTAGACTTGGGGGCTGAGGCAGGAGATCAAAAGTTCCAAGACCAGCCTCAGCAACTTGGCAAGGCCCTGATCAAGACTGTCTGAAAACATGAAATAAAAAGGTCAGGTAGTATGGCTCAGTGGTGGAGGGCGCCTGGGCTCAACCCTCAGTGACAAAACAAAGTACACGGGAAGCTGAGGGGAACCTGCTGGAAGTGGTCACATGACCATCACCTTTGTGAGTGACAGAAAATCTCCACTACCACTTTGCAAGACAAAGATAGATGCAAATGGAAGCAGCACATCTTTGGCTTCCTATCCTGCAATTGTGCAGCTGTTGTTACAGACCAACCAAAATTCTGCACTTATCCTGGTATTCTGGTAATCTTTGTTCTTGCAAAGTAATCAGAAAATACTGAACGTTTTATGGGACTGGGGTTGTTGCTCAGTACTAGAGTGCTTGCCTCACATGCGTGGGGCGTGAGTTCAATCCTCAGCATCACATAAATAAAGGTATTGTGTCCATCTACAACGAAAAATTAAAAAAAAAATTTTTTGAACATTTTAAATGGTTACAAAGCCAACTGGAACTCTTTGACTGGAAAGCCATTTCCAAGTTTTTGGAATCTTATAGGATAATCTAACTTAAAACAGAAGAATCTCCCAAAGGCCATCTTAAAATACACTTAATCCTTATACTAGTTTCAAAAGGCAATTATGTTCTCATGTATGTTTAAAAGTTCTTTTCATGGAGATATTTTTGCTTTGTTTTAACCCCTCTGAGGTGTTACTAGTGAGAGTAGCAGCATTGTTGAAAATCCTGACATACAGGTAGGTCCCTCTGTGCAAATTCTCCAGTCTTCACAGGAAGCCACTAAAACAGAAGCCCGAATCTACGCAATCTTGAATACAGAATACCCCCAAACAGGATACTGTAAACGACAGTTTATTTAGTCATTTTGTTTACAACTGAAACTCTGGGAATTCAAAATTAACATCCTTGCCTGTGAGCTTCTTATAGACACCAGAAAAGGTTTCAACCTACAAGGAAAAAAAAATTGATTCCCAATTTATTCAACTTTAATTAATTGCCCCCCCGGCCCCCAAACCTTGCGTTTTTTGAAATTTTTTGGCATGATTTTCCTCCTGGACAACCAGGGGTGAAAACTCCTCAGGGCATCCCCCCAGAATCCCAGGACCAGGGACAAGCTCGACTTCAGCCTCCCTGGACAGACTCTGCATCCTGACACAGTGCTATTCCTCCTCTGCAGCACATGGATGAAGCCAGGGGGTCGTCGGGTGTCCCCCACCACCCACCCCGATGTGTGAAAACACAAGCCTTCCTCAAAGCCAATCCCGGGTCACTTCCATTCCTCCTAACAAAAAGGTAGAGAAATTAAAGTGTCCAATTTCTAAAACATCCTCAATAGAGAACCTGGCACATAGAGTCCAAAGGACTTGGGTAGAGGTGACAAAGGAGCAGCCAGCCCTGAGCCAGACAGGCGGCCCTGGGGTGTACCCTCCTCCCAGCAGTCAGGCCCCTCCACCAGTATTAGCCCCCCACCTTGTGTTCCACGTTGTTCTGCTGTGCTTTGTCCAAGTGAACTTTTATAAGCCGGCTGCCATCCAGCTTCACACGAATCCTCTTGCCCACAATTTCACTCGGGAAGACCAAGTCCTCAAGGATCGCATCATGCACAGCTGTCAGAGTACGGCTTAAAAAATAAGCAGAAAATTAAGCAATCTAGCAATGTCTGTGCTCTAGTAAGCCCTGGAGGACACTTCTCAGTCAAAACAAAACTCCTGAAATCCAACCTCTCATGGAAGAGAGTTAACAGTTCTGTCTCTTCTATTTTAAATGTGACACCCTGGTAAACTACATGTGCACCCAAGCCATTGTGAGGACTTATCTCTATTTTCACACGGTTTTAAAAATAACCTCTTTACCACTTTATGGATCCTTGTCCAAAGTAATCTTTCAAAAATACCAATATGATCACATAATTTACCCACTAAAGGTCCTTTAAGAGCTCTGCATGGCCTCTTAAGATGTCACCAAAACTCCTGTACTATTCTATCCCCAAAGGTGCTGTTCTCTCATTTTTCTGGGATGGTGGCCCCAGCCAGGTGGACCCTGATTTTCCATCCATCCCCATTATGTAAATAACATGGATATCTGTTCCTTACTGGAGCAGCACCACCAAGCTCACCAGCTGCCCAGCTGCTGCCTCATCTACCAATCAAAAAGGTTCAGCTGCTCAGTCCTTGATTCACAATGGGATTATACCTTGTAAACCCATCAGCAGCAGGAAACACAGAAGTCAAAGAATATTTAATACACCTGAACTGCTGAGCGCCCTAGCTTAACAAGAGTCCACTGAAGACTGCCAGTTGTTCCCTCTTGAGATCGTGAGGCTGATCAGGAGCTGTGGGCTGTCACTGCCCCACATCATGAGGACTGTATCACATATCACTAGTCTGGGAAAAGAGCCAAATTCAGAATTCCAAGTACAGTTTCTATCGCTTTTGTATGACTTTACAGTCAAAACAAGCCAGGGACCATCTGTAATTCCCAACTTTTGGGTACCTACTATGTACCACAAGATGCCAGGATTGAGTCAAGAGACAGTTCTTATTTTTGACATTTAAAGCAGACTGATATTGTGGCTACTTGTCTAGATCTCAGTCACCACAGGGTAGGTAACAGACACTATGTCGTGCTCATTTGTATTTTCTATCTGGCAGTACCCACACACACAGGAACTGCTTTCTAGTGGATCTCAGGATCCACGATCCAAAGTCTTCATCAACTTTCAAAGTCATTACTACTCATTAGTGAAACATTCTTATAGTACTTGGAAAACACACTACTGTGAAATTAGACAATTACTTCCTTTAAAAAGTAAACTAAGGGGGCTGGGGATGTGGCTCAAGCGGTAGCGCGCTCGCCTGGCATGCGTGCAGCCCGGGTTCGATCCTCAGCACCACATACCAACAAAGATGTTGTGTCCGCCAAGCACTAAAAAATAAATATTAAAGATTCTCTCTCTCTCTCTCCTCTCTCACTCTCTCTTTAAAAAAAAAAAGTAAACTAAGGGCTGGGGATGTGGCTCAAGCAGTAACTCGCATGCGCGGGGTGCTGGGTTTGATCCTCAACACCACATAAAGATGTTGTGTCCACTGAAAACTGAAAAATAAATATTAAAAAATTCTCTAAAAAAATGTAAACTAAAACAGAAACAAAGTTATTCTTAAGAGTCATCTCTCAAATTCTGTTTTTAAAAATCATTTAAAAGGGGAAACAATGGCAATGCAACTTTAATAATCACAAACCATGGGAATGAAGTAGTTCAGAGGGAAAGAACCCTTACATAGCCAAAAATATGAGGGGTGGGGCTACTGAAAAGCAAAATCAATCTGAAAGCAGGTAACCAGTCTGGAAAAGTGGCATAATCACCACAACCTGCTAAATGTATCTCAGGGAGTGGGAGAATAAAGATCAGAAGTCCATCTCACTTCTGCCTCCATCTCCAACTATGCCCACCTCTACTGTACCTAGCTCGCTTTCCTCAACAGCTAAGAACTGAGGATTTCCCTTTCATTCTATCCTTTGCTGAAAAAATGGACAGACTCATCTTTTACATCGCTGCTCTATTATACTGTATAAATGCTTATGTGAATCACCTGACCTCTACATCTAGAATGAATTCCACAGAGGAAACCAATGTCACTCAGTCAAGATTCTTAGTGAATAGCTTAGGAAGAGCCAAGTCCTGACTGAGAACATCTGGAAATCCCAGGTTTGTGAGGACAGAGCATCAATCAAGGCTGCAGATCCGGGAGACAGTCCCTTAGCTGTGTTCCTTCGCTCAATTAATTCCTCACAGGTTTTCAGAACTGGGATTCCAAACCCCTTCTACCTTCTAAGTGTCAAGATTTAAAAAAAGAAGCGGATTAAAAGAAAAAAAAAAGAAGCTAGTCTCAAGCCTGTGACCTTCCTATCTATATCTGCCTCCTGAGATTACAGGTGTGCACCAAGGCACCAGGCCCCAAATATCCTGAATTCTTATGCCACTCCCACTGCCCATGAAACAAATTCAAAATTCTAGAAAATCAGACACCTCCTTTTCCCATCCTCAGGCTCCTCTCCCGTCTCACAACAATCCCTGTTACACCCACAATACTAAGGTTCCCATCTCTATTTTCTAGGTATTCATAGAACAACTTTTAAAACTTGTCAGCACTGTTAGTTAACTGAGCAAACTCTCCTGGGCTTGGGTCCGTTTTCTCGTCCATGAACTAGGGAAAACAATACTATGATACATTCCTAAGTGCGCCACTTCTGGCAGTTAGAGAAATAGCCAGAATAGTTTTTTTTTCTCAAGGGAAGAGTCTAGGGAAGAGTCTGCAGGGATCCTGGAATCCAAAATTTGAGAAACCAACTACTAGAGACACTAAGAACACAAGGCCTAGTTCAGGAAGTCAACTATTAAGTCTATGCCAAATAAGCTGAAGCATCAGAAGGGCACCTCTACTGTACCTAGCATGCTTTCCTCACGCCTAAGAAGTGAGGGTCTGGAATCAACTCTACAGAGGAAACCAATGTCACTGGGTCAAGATTCTTAATGGATAACCTGCTGCAATGTACAACACACCTTGTACAAATCACACGCCAGACAGGAGCGCAGCACAATCCAGTCACAGCTGAAAAACTCACCTTCTGGGACGCTTCTGCTTGTTTTTCGTGCGGCTTTTTCGAGTTGGTTTAGGCAGAATTCTCCTCTGTAAGGTAAAAATTATATGAAAAAAAAAAAACATAAGCTGACAGAAAGCTAATAACTGTTGGGTTTTTAAATTTTTTTTTAGTTGTAGAAGGACACAATGCCTTTGTTTTTATTTTTTCATGTGGTGTCGGGGATCTATCCAGTGCCTCATCATGCTAGGCAAGTGCTCTAACACTGAGCCACAACCCTAACTGTTGGTTTTAAAAGAAAAAAGTCAAAAGTTTAGGAAAAACCTAGACCAAACAACTGAGGAACCCCTTTCTATAAAATTACTTCCAGAATTTTCAATAATTCAGAATCCACAGCTTATCTTACCTAAGTAAAACTCCCACATTTCTGACATCTTCCCATACTCAACAAAGCCCATTACGCAACACAAGCAGCAGATGACAGTTGATTTTTATAATATTTCTAGTTGTTGATAGACCTTAATTTTATTATTTATATGTGCTGCTGAGAATCAACCCAGTGCCTCACATGTGTGAGGCAAGTACTCTGCCACTGAGCCCCAACCCCAGTCCCAAAAGTACTACTTCTTATATTCCCAATCAATCCTGGCCCTTTATTCCCCACAGACTAATTTGCACCAAAGCCAGATGTGAAGTTAAAACACTCATTCGCTCCCTTCTCTACAAGGTATCCAGTGGCATCTTTCAATCTCAGAGCCCATGTCAGATTCAGCCGAGGATCAGCACAACCTCACAGGCCCTCCTTTCATCTGGTTGCCCTGTCAGCAGCCCACTAGACACAAATGGCACTGTATCATGGAAAGCCCTTCTGTGACTGAACAAACCTCTCACACTGTTCTGACTTCTCAAGAGAACGTACTCAATCACTTAACTCAACATGACCACAACTTCCCCGGCACCCTACCCAGCGTGCTTGTACTCCTAACAGGGTTGTTGTCTGCATTGTGATCAGCAACACAGCTTAAACCAAAGTACTTGGTCAAATTCAGGAAAAAGAACCTTCAACAGTAACAGATACCTGAGCAATAAAAACCACATGCTTCCCACTGAACTTCTTCTCCAATTCACGCACAAGCCGGACTTGGATTTTCTGAAAAGATTTCAGCTGAGGAACTGGCACAAATATGATGATAGCTTTCCGACCACCACCAACTTCAATTTCCTTTAAAAGAAAAAAAAAAGGTCAACAAGCTGTCGCAGACCAGACCACCCGGCTCACTGAGATCCCTTTCTAAACATCACTTTGCTAGGTTTAGACCTGGCTTGAGTGTGTGCGCAGGTCCATGAGTTGCGACCTAAGCTCACCCACAGGGCCTTCAAGCCACTGCAGGTGGCTCTGTGAGGGCCGATCAGGCAGACGCACGCGGCCCGCCCTGTCCTGTGCCATGTGATGCCAG